TTTCAGCCTGTCTCCTCGGCTCTCTTCTCTCCGCCTCTCCTCTCTCTCTCTCTCTCTCTCTCTCTCTCTCTCTCTCACTCGCTCTCTGTCTACATGGGTACCATTCTCTTTTCTCTTCGTTCATTTTTATCTTCGCCTCGCCCCTGGACCTCGTTCCTCTCGATTTGCTTCCGTTTCCGTCGTTGGGATTCCTCGATTTTCTCGATCTGTCGACGGTCCGGTCTACTCGCGGCTAATGGGTGGTAAAATTAAACACCGAGGAGCCTCTCCCGAGACGCGAACTGACCGAGTGACTTTCAGAAGGTCGGAGACAGACTGCGATTGTTTTTCGTGATCATAGGTCGATCGTTTCGATCATGGAGCTCCTTCTTACCGCGCTTTGCCGATTGCTTCCTACCTCTATTGGTATTATCCTGGGACCACTTACTATGTCTGAAGAGCGTGCAATTTCCTGGGCAGAGTGGAATCAGATAGTATATTCAAATCTAGCGATGAGAATTCTCGTCTTCTTTCGCGTCAGATTGTTCGATTGTTGTTGTTTATCGTGGCGAACGCGTGTAACTCGAAGAGGGAAGATGTAGCCTTCCGATGATAGTTCTTTAGGTCATTTAGGAGTTCCGATAGCTTCTAAGTCCATCGTATGTGATTTATTGTTCGATGACTGGCGCAGGGCTGCGAGTGTTTGCTTTGAAAGAGTTGGGGGTCTTTGTTGGCACTGGAGAGCGTCTTCATCTAGCGTTCAAGCATCGGAAACCCCCGGGCTAACCTTCGGGAGATCATTTTCATTGCTTCTTTTGCTTTCGTACAATTATCTTCTCGCTGCTTATAGGACTCTTTTAAGGATCATTCTGGACCAACTTATTCAGAAGATCAGAGTACTTGGTTAATGTTCAAGTGTCCTCTTAGAGATCGGTTACAGAGAACTTTCATGGTTCTCTATGCAGGACCATTTTTATTTTTGATTAGCTTCGTCAACTTGTCCGGAAGACCGGAATGCTTGAAGGCAAGTGTTTCACTTTCGAAGTTGAGAAACATGAAACGTGAGGTCTGGTTCATGTACATTGTGCTCGGGAACGAGAATGAGGTACTGTCCGAACGATTTGTAATTGTACGTTCTCGGCTATTGAGAGCGACAAGTACTCGTTTATTCGGGGCCTGAGAGGTTTACGCAGCCGTCACTGAATCACCGAATCTTTATCTCCTACGATCCGAAGATACTGGTCGTAGAGTCGCAGTTTTAAAAATACCTCTTGGCAGCCCAGTTTTCTCGGGTTTGCAGGGTCTACCTGGCCGACAGACCGCAGAGACATTGACTAGTGATCTCGTACGGAGATCCTGCACACGTTTCGACCTAGCCACCGCGTCATCGTCAACCTCGTTTCCTCTTTTCTCGCGTAATCTCTTCTCTTTTTTCTTTTTCCGTTTTCTTTGCTCGTGACGAAAGTCACGTCGCTATTTTTTCCCGAGCTGTGGGAGCAACGTCTCGCAGCCGGAAACATCGAACGAGTGTACAAAATTCGACGGGAATGTAAGAATTCGATGCAAAGTTGCTTGATCGAGATTCGATAGTTTCACGGCGGCAAGCGCGGCTAGATGATAAATTATCGTCGCTTAGATTGGACGATAGGGAACATTTATTCGAGTCCCGAAATACATATGTGTGATATGGGGACAAGGTCGTCTTGGGAATCGGAAGGAATTCGCATTTCACGCGACTCGTCACAGCGATTTCGAAAATTCACTCTCTCCGTGCCGGGAATCGGATTTATTCGAAATACGCGCACATACACGCGTGTGTACCTTAATTAAATTGGAACCTTGACGAGAGCGGTCGTATTAGCCAGCTTCAAGGTCTCCTGCTTTATGCAACAAACTATTTCTCAGTCTGTGCACTGTGTTTTTCAAGACGTTCACATCGCAGCAATTTAGCTCAGTTCAGAATTTCAAACGTTAATGTACAAATACCTGTCATTAATGATTCATTAATTATGGACAAAGCCGATCGCGAAAAATAATTATAAGTCGACTGCAGATCCTTGTGGGGCAAAAAAATGTTCTGTATCGATTCCTTAATGATTCTGATCCTTCTTCAACAATTTTGATCAACTTTTGTTCATTTTTGTTCATCGCGGAACGGGTACAGCTATGAATATCCCAACGAAATTTCCAATAGCAATGCCAATTCCCATGAACTAAAACTTAACAATTCACTTCTAGCTACCCAAATTAGCTATCAAAGCTATCTATCAAGATCTCCGTTATGGCAGCCAAACTATTAGAAGACAAAAGTCTCTCTGGATCGTGTCAGGTTCAAAGCGAGAGAAAAAATTCCCCGAAAGTTTGTTCTCCGAGGGTTCTCGACGGGACCAATCGACGCCATATTGCTTTCGCGCGTGACCGGAAGTGGAACGGGCCCGGAAATCGCGAAGATCGGGCGTTCTCGATGGTTCACGCGGTAACGTAATATCAGCGGGATTCCAGCCGACTCTTATTGCAGCCGAACGGTGCTGGGAACCGCGGGCAGCAAAGAGAAGAGATTCGCGGCGAAATGCGTGCGCTCCTCGGACAGAGAGGAGCGTCGGGACGACGGGCGCCTTTATATTTAGAAGCCCGGGTCGCCGCCGTATAAGGTGGTGCTCCCTCGTGCAAAAGTTCTCGCGGTTGCTCGCTCTCTCCCCTTCGTTCGTGCACTTTCTTCTTATCTGTGCATCTTCTTATCCGGCATCCTATCCCCACTCCCCGGCATTCCGCCGTTGCATCAATTTTTATCGAGCCAAGTTGCAGGAACTGTATTTTATTCTCTGGTCTAGAGTGTCTCTTTGGAGATTCTTTGGGATTTTCTTTTTAAAGAAATCGAGAGGCTGTTTGGTATTGACCTTTCACACAGATGTTCTCTAGTATTTGAAGTGTATCGTGTATTTTTTCATACTGAAATACTCAAATTTCTAGCATCTGGAATTTTTTTTAATAAGAGGCTCATTGGTTGGCACGATTGCAGCTTCTATTTCCGGCTTTTATATCAAGTTTTTCCTATCAGTTATGTGGAGATAGGTATACTTAAATCGTTCATAATTTCACGTGAGAAGATCGACGTTACTTTACGAGATGAATCCCCATACGTTCCTCAGAGTCAAGATTCTCTATTCCCTATTCTTAGGCACCATGGAACGTTTAAATCCAAGGTATGTGAGGAACTCTTAATTGAGAACATTTTTGTGTAAGCGACGGAAGCGGGAAAAGTGCACGAAGATTACTGGCCAAATTGGCTACTTCGGGATCTAATAATAAGCCTCTAATCGTATGAGGTCACAATGTGTCTTGAATAGACCTGTTTCGTGTCATTATGATTTAGAATTTGTAAAGGTTCCTCAGTTGATGCAGACAGCTACTACTTTTATGGGATATCTCGATGAGTCATCATGATATGTATAATGTTTGTTGTACACCATAGAGAACTGACTATTACAGCACTTTAATTGAAATTTTTAGTCACTCCTCGGTTATTAAGCTTGTTATATAATTCAAAGAGACTTCTGAATCGCAAGATATTAGATACAGATGCTAGATTAACTTAAAAAAGTTCTTGCATACTTCCTTTCTTAATTTTCTCTATAAAAAAGAACATTTTTGTTTTCTATTCTAGGCCAACCCGTGTTGCTGTTATCGTGCAGGCTCCCAGAAATAGCTCCAGCTGCTGTTTTGTCGGCATAATGAAATAGAAAAATGCTTTCCCGTACCTTAACACAGGTAAACTACATAGTTTATATCAAATCTTCCATTAACTCTTTAATTTTTCAGAAACATAAAAATAGTTTTAATTTTTCAGGTTCCATTTCATTCCTTCAAATTAATTCTGACGAGAATGCCTTGACTCTTCATCTCAACATTAGAGTAAGTTCATTATTTAATTCTGAAAAGATTATACTTTCATTAGCAAAAATTCATAAGATCATTTCTTTTCCAGGATAGCCACCACTTTCTCCTTTACCCATCTTTCATCGATCATGAACACGGCGAAGAACGAAGTTCTAAGCGTCCTTCAAAGTACATTGGCTCCGGAATATTAACAGCCTGTAGCAATAGTTTAAGTAAATTGCTTTATTACTCAGCCAAAGAAATTATTTCGGGCTAAGACCTTGGAGTTTCCAGTGCCTTAGTCCTCGAGTAATAAAGCAATTACTATAGGAAGCCGTCCGAAAGGCGAACGTCCTCTACCCTCATAAAATTTGTAATAGACAATGCCCCAAACAAAATCCTAACTGGACAAGTAAGAGCCCATCCCCGTGTAAATTATTAGCATAACGGCTCGACATCGACCAAGAATCGGAGATTTACAATTTCCCATCCTAACGGTACAGTCGTCGACATTTAGAGACTCCGGCAAGTTTGTTCGATCATAAGATACAATCCATTTTTCGACAACAAATACTCGCACAAAGTTAATTCGGCGTGTGGGAGTCGCGATAGACCGAAGGACTAGTTACTAAATATTTCGCGACACAACAAAGTATCAAGCGTGAGGTTTGGAATATTCTGTATACCTTTAACCGTTTCTCCTTTCTCATTTAATCTTTTATTACTTAATATTACATTTTCTATACGCTGTGTGATCTATGTTAAGCGTTTTACAAAGTTATCATGTCCACGATGCTCGGTTCGCTGCGTTCAGCGGAAACGAATGCGAAAAATAATAAAAAAAATGGAAAGAGCTCTGTTGTAAGCTCCTTGGAATGAATGAGTGATCAGCAAATACTATAGCGTTTCGGGAGTATGCCTGTTAAAACTTAACCAGCCGGGCGATACAACGTGAGTTCAATAAATACAGTTCTGTGTGAACACTCTGATGCGTCAGAGCAACCGTAAGAAATATATACAACGAGATAATTACTATTCGACTTCGATCGTTCACGCGGATACAAGATTCATTTATTTAGACATATTTTGTAAGATAGTTACTCAAACGCTTTCATGTTCTCTCCGCTCTCGATCAACTGTCATTTTAAGTCAGCAACATAGAAGCTGTATAAAAGTTTTTAATCACGATCATAAAAGGTAACGAGACCTCGATGGCTAGCAGCGACGTACAATCTGCGCAAATAAATAAATTTCTACCCGTAGAGGTCCTTACAAACGATAATATTGCACGTGAAACCCATAAGGTACTGCACTCTCAGCGATGATAATCGTTATCCACTTGGATACGCAGTAAAACATTGGATAAATAACACGTTGAAAACCGTTGTTCGCTTCATACAATATAAAAGTACATAAACAACGTCTTACGAACACAAGGAGACAGTAACAAACTTCTTCTATGATCTATTCTTCAAAAGAAGACACTCGCAATAGGCTCACAGTCATAACAATGAAACAAAGTGGACAATTACTATGACTGCGGGCGTGTCTTCTTTTGGAAAAGACACCATAATAGATGCAAATTCAATTGGCGGTACCAAGTCACTAAAAGACTGTGTAGTTTGTGACCAAGGTGCGGTGAATTACACCTTATCAAGCTACATTCTCGTATACACGCGAGTCCGACCGCAAATAGCCAATCGAATTTGCAATCATTGTACAGTAAGCCTCGGGTAATTGTCCAATAATGAGCCCGCATGAATCCCTTATATAAGTTTAAGTCACATTATACTGTCGGCTCCTGCTGAAAAAGGGTATAATCTATTTACCAATGGATCAGGCAATTGGCCTGGTCGAACATATTCTGGACAATTATCCGAGCATACTCCAATACAATTCACCGTCCATATCGAATCGTTCTAGCGACCCAGGTGTATGCATCGCGTTCCTATTTACGTTCTTCTCAACTTGAGCATGTGCAAGTTCGGATGCCATGGCACTTTCCTAAAAGTCGACGTGTTCGCCTCATCAGGAGATAGGGCCTCCTCGTTGCAATTGTCCTCAGCAGTGGACACCTCGAGTAACGAGACTTCTCGCCAGGGTCCACTGATACCCGTATCGAAACTGAACAGTCTGCGATGCCGTTGCGCCTGTTCGTTCACCGCGTCCCAGTTCCGCATTCCCGGGTCGCTGACGACGCGACGGTGTTTCCTATGAAGGTGCCGACGATGATGGTGATGGTGGTGATGATGGTGATGATGATGATGACGCAGCTTCCTCCTATCGTGCTCCAAGCTCGTGACACGGATCAAAGAATTCGGATCGAAGTAGAGTCGATTGTCCACAAAAGGAACGAAATGCACTCTGTCCATCGTCAACGAGCTAGGATGGAATGTCTTTGGGGTGTGACGGACGGACGGGGACCATTCGGTGTCTTGACACAGGTTGATCGTTACCTTTCTGCGGTGGTAAGAGCAATGCGACCTCGACTGCAGCCTGTAAAATCGATCAGAGTCGTTATTACTTGTTGCAATCGGCGGTGCACTGGATTTCAAAATTTCTGCTGCTTTTTGTCAGGGATTCAAGACTCTGGACTAATTGCAGATAGGTATAATATAGTTCATTTATATTCGTTAAACACTGATTTGTACTCGTACGTTTCCCCATTCATGGTCAGAGCCTTTACAAACAACGCCCCTATTACTAGAACTATTATTTAAGATAAATGCGAACCTAGAGGAACAAGAGTGCGACGTTCTGTGTCGTCAGTTGAGCGGATGCTCTCCTCTGGGCATCCTATAACACTTGTTCCATGCCTCGACAAGTAACACACAGCTGTGAAACCGGTAGAAGATCAGCAAAGGTAGCCCAATCCTGGAAAGGATACCCCAAGCAAGCACTCCGAAGAATCTCAGCTGCAGTTCCTGCGAGATCCAGGTCTGCGTGATGACGGTATCGAAGGCCCACAGAACAGAATTGCTGAACAAGAGAAAGGTGATCACTTGGCGAGCCGGTTTGCCAATTAGTTGGAAACGAGTGATGCAGGATCTCTTCGACGCCTCCGCTATCAAGGTGCTTTGAGCGAAACACTGGATCAGTTGTAGAATAGAGGCAGTCAGTAACATGATATGTCTTCCCTTAGTTTCGTCAGTTTCATCGACCAGTATGGCCAATGAGCAAGCAGTGACCACGATGGTGAATACCGAGTACAATTGGACGCCGAACAAAGCCACGTTGGATAATAGGCTGTCTAAAGCAGCGGGTGCTCTTGATACGATAGACATCTGCCTGACCTGGACCAGGCCGCTGCTGGTCATCAGAGTGCTCAGAGTCAGAATACTGATCAGAGTACCACAAGTGAGCCAGGACAGAGTGCTCGGTGGAAAGTTCTCGTCGTCTCTGACCACCAGGAATATCAAAATGACCACTATGCCGGCTACCATGCACAGTATACCGAGGAACAGGCCTTTGCTAGATCCGTCGCAGCCCACTTTAGTGTTGCTTGTCAAGTCCTTGCTGCTGTGGAACTTCTGTTTGTGCGGCAAACGATTGCGACCGACGTTCTGACCCATAACGAATGTGACTGCGGCGGCAATTAAGCTGAAATACAAAGTGAAGTCGTAGACTGAATCGTAGACTGGATAAAATTATAATACACCGAGTATTGCCAGTTACCTGAATTGCACGATAAACGGGTAAAGGAATGGCATGCTAGACGTCCACAGCTGGCCCAAGCTGTTCGTGTTCAGACATTCCTGCAGAGCTATTACCTGGGAGATTTGCTCTTTCGAGATCGGCTGGTAGGGATGGAAGATCTCTTTATTCGATGCTGCGTGGTCTAGAAAAGATGACGAGCCTTTCGAATTTTCGCGAAGAACAGAGACAGCAGAGTATAAATTCAACTGGCTGCTCGAGACCACTTTCACGAGGAAGCAGCTTGGGTGAACGATCTCGGAACAGAGAATCTCGTGTTCAAGATCGTTCCATCCAATCTTGTCATCTCTTCGGCGGACCTGAGACATGTAACGATTATAAACATTTTGACAAACCTATCAAGTCTCTAGTGTGTCGTATCAGAGACTCTGGGAAGCCCCGAAGATTCAATGGAGACGCAGAATTTGGCAACCCTTGTTGCGCCAGATGGACAAAGTACGTCCATTCTTGAGCAGAGTCCCAGATCACCAGTCGTATCCAAACGGCGATGTTTGTGGCTGCTAGATGGATGAAGCCGAACCTTGCTGCTAGGCCAAACCTCTCGACCAGAACCTGCAAGCAGACATTTATCGTTTGAAAATTTTCCAGAGGGTTGGAGACATCGCGGACACCTGACAGTTGCTGCAGAGACGTTATCGAAGGGTCATCGAATCATTGTAAGCAATGAGAAGCGAACGGATCACTGACCTGCGAGTTGACAAAGAGGAAATGCATCTGCAGAAAGGTGAACAACCCGTGTAAAACCGGATGCACGAAGACAACATCGCTGAGACATTCTTCGCCCTGCATCATCGAGTGCATCGCCATCTCCAATCCGTTGAAGACGAGGGTCGCCAGGCCAAAGACTGTCCAAGATCCAGACATTTTATGTTAGCATTTACTCTTGCTTACTGTCAATTGAATGGAACTGAATTCCAGGAAACTCACCGAGCGCTCCGACCCGAATGTAGAAGCTTGTCGGCGCCGTTCTGGAACGCGAGATGTGCGCTCGTTTCAAGGAGCCGAACCTGGTCAAAGACGTGCCACCGAGTTCCGCATCGTCGACGCCACCGGCACCTCTACCGAGGCTGCCGCAACTGTCCACCAACACCCATGTATAGATGCTGATGATCACCGCTATGCTTCCCACGTACAGATACATCAGGAACACGCCCTGTAAATAACCGTACCACGGTGGAATATCGATGGGAACGAGGACTGATACGTGACAACGTCTTGGTCTTCATCGCTCAAGTCTGTTCACGCCACAGGGAATCGAGCTACTGAATTAGAAAACGATCCACACATTTCATTTCGCGGTAATTCACTGTGTTTCTTGCTGGAGAATGTCTATGCACCAATTCTGAACTGCATTGGAAGTATGGTGGTGATTTATATTGCTTTTAGATTGAAGCTGACCTTTATGATGAAATGGAACACTTTTCTGCACGAAGTTCACACGCATACATTGATTTATGCAGGGATCAATCAAGCTGGATTAACACTAAATCGGTCTGGAATGAAGAAAATATTGTAGAACATGTCACTCTGAGTTTCGTAGAAAAATGTTTCCATAAAGATGAAGATGAGCAGTGCAGTAATTAAGTTCCAAGTTCATGTGCCATTTGATACAAGAGATCATCTAGCAATGAAATTATCATTCTTACTGCTATGATCGTCAAGAACTAACATACAGAGTTGAGAATTTTCACGAGGATCCATAAACTATTAGCAATAAATTTTCAAAAAGAGAAGATTGAAGCCACAGTATACATTTACCTCAGATTACATGATGGAAATTAGCAAAGTCGGTGAGTTTATGAGTGACTTTGAGTGAAATTATGGCGGAAGGTTAAGAAACAACGACAAATCCGAGGCAGGCCTGGACTAGATCCGGGATAGACGACTCTATTAGCGCATAATGCACGGTTTCGACCCCGACTATAATTTTCCAGCAGTCAGAGCGTCCAAGAAATGCTAGGCCGGACCAACTCTCCCTGCGGTAGGGTATACTTGATGATCCCGGCCGGTGCAGGAATCGTGAATTCAATTCGCGGACTGTTACTGTTACCGTAAACCCGTCGGCATCACGATCTAAACCAATCCATAATTTACGTGGAATGTGAGCACGCCGGATCGCGCGCAATTGTGAGCGTCGTTTGATCCAAAATGACCGGAGCACCAGCTGTGCGCTCGCGCACTATAATCCACAGATCGCTGCCAGTTATGAGAGCTCTGTCGTATTTAGAGGTGTAACGGCGTTCACGTATTTCGAACATATGGCGGACTTTAACCGACCGGTTCTAAATTATTCGAATTGCGCGACGTCATCGTTGCACTCTCTTTTCGACAATTCTGTAGATTCGATCATCTCCGCGGGACTTGACATATCTTCCCTGCGACCGACACCATAATGGTTTTGAAGATTGAAGCCTTCTCCTTCAAACTAGATCTCAAAATGCAATGTACGACTTTTTGGCGCTATTTTATGGCACTTCGAGTAAAAAATGTGCCGCTGTAAGAATCGTCCAAGATCTGGATTGTGTTCGAACGTCCACTACGTGGTGTACAACTTTTTGCGAGAGAAATAGAACTCCGGCCAGTGTAAAAGCCGATATTTCACGCTTAAAAATAAGCCTAGGTACATTGTTCTATGATTTTTTTCCTAGAAGCTAGAACACTTTGAATGTCGACGGTCTTTTATCTACGCGATTCATCAATCCTGTTTACAAGTGTGTTAACAGCATTAGTAAATTCACCAGGAGATAATTCCCAACATTTAGCATGTAATTACATCGTAGGTTCAGCTACCATACCGTTATCTAACCCAGAAAAAAACTCAAATTGTAAAGTGTCCAATCCGAGACAGAAAGAATGAGCTTGCGCATGCGAAACAGGAAGATCGCCGGCCGTAATATAGTTGTGCGTCGAACGTCGCGTTGTATATTAAATTCGAGCCGTGCATTAATGGCACCAGCCGTGAAATGATTAAGAGAACACGTTCCTTGATTACGGAATGAAGCATCGTCGAACGTGCAACGCGATTTTACGGCGGAACTCGGTTCGCTTGTAATATTCTACACTTTACGGCTCGATCCCATCCCGAGTCTAACTTCCAACGTTCTACCTCGCTCATACGATTCGCACGATTAGATTTTTATTATCATCCGCGAGGTTTATACGACTACGCAGATGACGGCGGATTTTTACACCGCTCGGGAAAAAGTTTCGAAACTTTATCGCGCGCAAGGGAATCAACCGTAAACCGTGGACGGAAAAATTCGCGACGGTGAAGTTAGGCAGTTTCCGCGTAATAAAATTGGGAATGTAATGCTTGCTTAGGCGCCGGGGACTTCGATGCGTGGCAGGAGCGCGCTGCCATTAAACTTTAATGTTTGTGGACACCGAATTTCTTTTCTATTTTCTTCTTTCGAGATCCTGTATCAGACTTACCTAAGCTCTTCAGTATTATTACAGCGTCTCGGTCGGTTTGTCCCGTTTCGATTTTAATGACTGGATCGAAGAATGTTGGAGTGAAATTCAATTTCTTAGTCTATGAATGACTTCTAAATACATTTCAAGCTTATCAATTAATGATTCTTGTTATAGAAGGAATGACAATTTAGTTTGTCTTATAAGGAAAGGGTTAATAGAATTTAATGAAATGTAGATTGACTTACTTGCAAGCTGAGGAGAGGCACAGGCGTGTCCATGACCTCGGCCAAGCAAAGAGCAATCATCAGCACCACGACCAGCTGGCCATAAACGTTCGACAGGACGACCCATAATTGGGAGCTGCAACAGCCACCGAAAGATCATATCTTCGATTACATTCCTCCCTCGAATTTGCTTAAAACATTTAAAGCTTCCCTCCTATTGTTCAGAGCGAAATTTCATATTCATCTCGACTGAATTTACTGTTCATTTCGATTAATAAAGAAACTGCGTCATAAATCACTTTCACTGTAGACATATCCTTTCATGAAGTATCTCCATTGAATGACAGCTATCATAAAATTAAGTCCGGGAAGTCCTAGCAATAAGTCAGCATCTTATCCGTATGCATTATCATTTATTTCTGACGCTTTCTCTTTAAACAATTTAATGTCATCAACCTCCTTGCTCAGCCTCCTTGTTCTAAGTCTACTGCGACAATAGTTTCTCTTGGATTTTATAAGGACACGTTGAATTTTCCAGGATATAGAAGAACTATCAAGGCCGAAAAGAACGCTAGTAGCGAACATGTGAACGACTTACAATGGCTCCGAGTGGTCCAACAAATCGCTCTGCGATCTGGCCTTGGACAGGAGCCTAGTGACGAACGATCTGGATGGCTCCGAGGACCTGGTGGTCTCAGCGGCAGCAGTCTCGGACTCCGCGGTCCTCTCAGCCCGGCTAGGGGCTCCGCCGGGTGCACCCTCCACGGTGCCACCCGTCGTGCTACCGGTCTCGTTCAGGCTGTCCTTGTCGTGTTGCTCATTGCTGGCTGTAACATAAATTTTCGGCGGGTCAGAAACGTCCAAACTGGTTTCTTTTGCCTGACCAAGACCCACTAATTATACCGTTCGCCGGGCAGTTCTGGGTCACTACGGAGGAACTTTCGCTTCGAGGAATCCGCCTCCTCTTTGGACTGGGATCTCGTTGGTTCCGGGTTAGCTTGCCTCGGAGCGACAATCGATCAACATTGTTGCTGATATTTCAGAATTCTTCACATCATTGAAGATACATGTATGACCGGAGCAGTTAGTTAGTTATGACGTATCACATTTTTTCTGATTTGTACTGTAAATTTCGTTGTTGCGGGTCGTTTTACATTGAACCGTTCGCGCGTGGAACGTGTTAGGGTAATATTATACATAAGACTGCAGAAAGTTTACTCCATTCGCGTTACAGTAAATTCTCCCTAATCGACGCTAATCTTGGAAACAAAAATGGACAATTTGGGAAGAGAATGTGCGATTAATCGAGCTTTGCGGGTCGTTTTTTTTATAGTTGTTCACAATCGGTAACTATTAAAACGAACAGTAAGGCTCATATGATCGTATCTCCTCTTCCCAGATTGTCCATTTTTGTTTCCGAGCTGAGCGCGTCAATGAGGGAGAATTTAATTAATGAAATGTATTTTTTGAAATGTATTTTGAAATATATATGTGCACAGTAAATTATCTGCAATCGTCGCTCCACATGTAAACAGAAATGGACAATTTGAGAAGAGGAGACATGATTATTCGAGGCACGAATAATCGTGTCCCTTGTTCCCAAATCGTCCATTTATCTTTACATATTCAGTGACAATTGGAGAGAATTTACTGTACTTCGATGTCGAACATAAGGAATGAAAATGTCTTAATTGTCGCCACACTTCAGAAACATTGACAGTGCATACCACGATTTCGTAGTCTTTCTTTACGATATAATGCAGATAATTGAATTGCCAGGCTAATGATAGTGATCTAGCGAAAATTGGAAAAGGCGATTGTCGATTGCGTCGATCATGGAGGTTAATATCTTGCGTGAATCATCGCATAAAATAAATAGCGGCTAGCTACAGTTTAATTCGCTAGCATGACTGGCGTAATTACAATGTTCCCATTAAACGCAATATTTTCACGAAATCCAAAGAAAAATTATTAAATTGAATGAATTAAATAAGTTAAATTAAATAAATTAAATTGAATATAAATTAAATAAGTTAAATTAAATATATTAAATTGAATAAATTAAATAAGTTAAATTAAATAAATTAAATTGAATAAATTAAATTACATTGAATGAATTAAATTACATTGTACGAATTAAATTACATTGAATGAATTAAATTAAATCGAATAAATAAAATGAAATTGAATAAATTAGATTAAATTAAATTAAAAAAGTAAAAGAGAGAATTTATTGATCGCCCGATTGCGTCACGGCTCGTGACTGTGAATAACAATATGCTGCACAATACTGTGATCTTCTGTAAAAAGAAAAATGCGAGATCGTGATAGGCGCGCAGTATTAATGAAAATTTTCGGAATATCATTAGAGATAGCGGAGACGTATAATGGTACATCTTGGATGTACATATAAACATGAATCGTAGGCGCTGCGCCGTCATGATTAAAGCGATCATGGGACTATGAAATGTCAGTGGTGAGGTATATAATCTTTTCGAAAGTCCTACCATCAGTTTGATAATTAATCGTGTTCAATGCGGGAGAGGATGCGATCGCTCTTCTACCGCGGGTTTTCATTTTTCTTCCCATCGGTGACCGCCGTGACGACGATAGGAACATCGGATGCCAAGGTGCGTTAAATCGACGGTAATTAGCGGTCGCGCAACGAGCGTGCAATTTATGCCGGAGAAAATTCTCTTCGCGACGAACCTGTGCGTCCGACAGGCGAAGAGGATGCAACAATTCGCCGGATCAATCGTGACCAATTATATCCGTCCGCGGCGCGAAATCGACTTAAAAGTTACGAGCCGGTTCGCACGGACCTGAAACGACGATCAATCGACTTTCATCGAGCTTTCGATGATCCGACTTTTACTGACTGCCGTCTCTCCGACATGTCCTTGGAAATTTTAACGATCGCAGTATACTACGAGCTTGTCGGACAAAGCAAATGCATTTCTTTTATGTTTTTGCACGGAGAAAATTAGCTATGAAAATGAGAATTCCTTGCGTTTAATCGTCAAGACTGCGGACGTTTGCTCATTTACGACGTCTGCGGGTTTGTAACACGGGAGAAACTCCCTCGTAAAATTATTTATGAAATTATTTATTTAGGAGAATTTATGATCGAAGTGTTCGTAATTAATTTGTAAACAATCGTAATCTATCATTTTGGAGAGAAGGCGATTTATCGTTGCTCTCGAGAAATTCATTATTTTTTTGTCGATGGAAACCTAAATATTCACTCAATGAATGTACTAGAAATTTTCTATTAACCAGTTAGCTGTGTTTGACGAGTATACTCGTTATGTAGAAGTGGGCAGTATTTTGTGTCACGACGAATATACTCGTCGTGCGGAAAAAGTAGTGACCATTGGCTATTAAATTGTAATTTTAACGAAAACAAAAACATATTGTCAAATTTCAAGATGTTAAAAATATTTTCAGGCCAGGCCAGAATAAAACAAACAAATAAATAAATATGAATAAGATTAGAAAAGAATCATGATATAAAATCACGACGTGCAACTCTTCAGCAGCAATTTGAATTTTTAACTTTTATAAGTATTTGATTTTTCCTGCGTTTTTCGTTTATTACGTATA